AAACTAGTGGAGTAATTTCACAAAAAATAATTGAATATCAATTCAATAAAAATTTAATTAATATTTTAATTACCCCGACGTTTCGGATTTATTGCAACGTCCATGGTCTCTGGTTATGGTCATGGACTAAAGAGGCTAATGTCAACTACCCGCACTCGACCTACATTATTTATTTGTGTAGGGTTGTCACTAGACCGACACACAAGTCGCCGGATGTCGTGAATGTTGTGTGTCGGTATAGTGACAACCCTATTGCACAAATAAATAATGAAAATTGAAAGCAAATAGTTAATTTATATTATTGTTAATTAATACATATTTAAAGTATATTCTGCCAAAATATTAAATAATGCTATATAAAATTATATTTCTTATGAAAAATGCAACATTGTTACAAACATAATTTCATTATCTCATATTAAGTAATTCAACTGACTCTAAAAAGAAAGGCTGTATTTCAGTGCCTTCTAGACCATGGACGTTACAATAGAAACGTCGTGGTAATTAAAAAATGTTTTATACATGATTACCTATACATAATTTATTTTAAACTCAATCATTTTCATTTTGAATGAATTTCGATAAAATAAATATGCAAACGTATCGAGTTCTTAGGCTTCGCGATTGTTACACATAGGAAATGAAACTATTTTTCCGGATTTAAGGCGCGTATATTTGTTTTTTCAAACAAACCGAACGTTTCGGGCTCTTTACAGGTCCCATCGGTCAGTCAACCGTGACCATGGGACCTGTAAAGGGCCCGAAACGTCGGTTTCTTTGAAAAAACAAATATACGCGATTTAAATCCCGAAAAATAGTTTCATTTCCTAAATATGCAAACGATTGTACAAATATGCAGCCGAGATCGACGCATGCATCTGTTAGCAGCCTAAATTCAAGTTTGTCCAGGAACATTGTGTTGAAAAAACCCGGTCTATTGCAGTTGATCTTCAAACGCTCCAGCACTGTGCCGTACGATTCTATTGCCTCGGATCCGCAATTCAGGCGACGGGTCTTCAGAGATGACTCGCGCTCCACCCCGGATAGACTAGGTAAGAGACTGGCTCATATTTATAAATATGCAACTTTCACTGTAGCTTATGCGTGATGGAGGTATGGGATGGTCATCAGGGCGCTGGACATAAGTCCGAAGCAATTGGTATACATGTGTTTCACTCATAAATCTGATAATTGGATTCCATCACAGAAAATTCATGCACTTAAGCTCAATTTACATTGCCGCGTAACAGAATGGAATCGTATTTTTCTAACCATATCATAATGAACCATCGAGCATATATACTCGATGTAATGAACTTATCGTCAACGTCAAATGTTGTGTAACGTACAAACTAGGAGTCAATACTCTCAGTACAGAGTACAAAAAAAAGCCAGACCTCAAAAGTAATTCGTCCCCTAGTTTGCTACCCTTAGAGGTGGAATATTGTCTTCTAATTTAAATCGGACCACTATTGAGATACCCTCTTTCCAACAAAAAAAAAATCATCAAAATCTGTTCATAAACGCCGAAGTTATCGCGTAATATACTTACAAAAAAAACATGCAGTCGAATAGAGAATCTCCTCCTTTGTTGAAGTCAATTAAAAACAGATCTCGGAAATATCCACGGCTACCGTATCGTTCCTAGTTTGTGCGTTAAATGACTTAAAGTTCCCATCTGAGCGCATAAAACCGATCCCCAGTGGATTCGTTTTATTTTATATTATTTGCTATTCCCAGCGGATCCCCTTTGCACGGGATCAAGAATAAATATTAATATGTTATTCTCACCTGATACCCTGGTTTTACAAGCTATTTTTAGGTACTGTATGTAGTACAGTCAACAAGAAAATGTATTTCAGGGTTGTACTGTATTTTATTTAGTTTATAACAAATGAACAATATTGACTGTACTTTAAAGGTCGATATCTTTAAACCTTTGTTATTTTCTTAAAAAAATACCAAAATACATTTTGAACAAGGAATTATTACGTGGTGCATATTGCTCATCACTTAAAAGTTCAAAGAAAAACTTAGATTTTAAATATTACTTGAGACTGATTTTTTATTACTTGTGATTTGCAATATGTAAATATTAATGACCTGTCACAACAAAATTTGATTGTCTGTGATAATTATAACACTTGACCACAATTGCTCAACAAATGAATATTTGATTTTAAAACTTCTTTTTCTCTTGATTGTACTTACTTTACAAATATAATGAGGGGATCCGCTGGAAGTTGCAAAATATATAGTGGATCAGTTCGGATTTAAAATTGACGGTGGATCAGTTGCAGAGGATCAGATGGGAATAATCCCATTATGCTATGTACAATTTCGTCAGAAAAATTTACATTTCATAGTAAATTGAGCCGTATTTGTTTTGCTTTTCTCGCACAAATTGTTAAGCAAATTATGTATACTGTACATATCTAACTGAGGTGGTGCCTTCGTCATTGAATCTTAATTGAGAAGTAAGTTGAGACATTGAATTTTGTTCAATTCTTCGACAATAGATTTAAGTAGTAATTATTTTTAAGTGATATGATAGCTATTCCGAATCATGGCCCCTGGTGCCACTCGCACGGGTATCAACTTGAACTGGTGGTTGTTCTCCTTTTTGAACATACCAGTCTTTCGTGAGACATTCCGCGTGCAGGTCTCACTTAATAACTCAGAGCAACAGTCAAACCGATTCTGATGATTTGGAAGACTATCGACTGGTATTGCATAAGACCGTAAGATTGTTACGCATGAAACACTCAGAGAACGGGTGTGGGTCGGGTGTGGGACCCGACCTGTGCCCGTCTCACCCCCGCGCGTTGTGTGTTGACGTCCATATACCTAAATACATGGAATTATACCCGCCGTGCTCCCGGCCCGACACGTGCCCGACTCGCACCCGCTGTCAGTGTGTTTCACGCTTTACGTTCAATTGAAGTTAAAGAAATTGGTGGTTAATATAATATAAGTGGAATTTGTGATGATGACCTTTTACATTCCTTTTGATGGTTTTCCGAACAATGGATATGTTAAAACAAACTTTTGTACTCAGCATTTGTTGCGTATTCAAGGAATTATAATAATATTATCCATGATAAGAGCTAATTATTATTAAGTCTTGTTATAAAAACATCCGGCTCGCAGGACCAATTAAAAATTGCCTTTTTTACGCACGCAGGACCAAAAGAGCGGGACGCGAGTAAGTACAAAGTTTCGATAACGCACGTTTTTATTAATTATGTCGACACACGAATGAAAAGCGATAATCTATCCTGTTATTTTTTATAATTCTTTATTACCAAATAATAAAACGTGAATAACGGGCTATTTATGCAAGAGTACCATTGTAAATTTAGACAGGGATGGTACAAAAAATACTCGGTAAGTGGTATTTCTTACAACAATAAAGGGTTGCCTCAAATTGGTGCAGAAACGCAACGCTGCACTGGCTTAAAACGAACATAAATTTTATCTTCTACAAGATAAGGTTCTTTAAACAAAAAAAGAATAAGATGCAGCAAGCGGCGCCGCTCTGCGCGTCCTTTTCAAAATGCTTTATAGTATTGAACGTATTTCCTATTAAATAAAATATAAATGTCTTCGAAGGCCAATAATAACGCAGCTTGCTTTTCAATGTGTAACTTAGCTTCGCAACAATAAGGTTAATTTCGTTTAAAAACAGACAGCAGAATATTTATTGGGATAAAAAATAACAGTTGCGCTCCGATTTGAGGCGGCTCTGAAGGTGGTTTTCCATCGGCGAGGCGAGACGCGACGAGGCGAGACGTGGATTGAAATTTGTATGACAAAATTTCAATTTTCTCTAGATCAATGTGGTTATCGGTGGAAATGGTCTGGATTGACGTGGATGGGCGAGGTGAGAATTGAAATATTTTTTGATGTAATATTGAGCCGTATAACTGCCTACGTACAGCATTATACTTATATTTAACTGCCTTCGTGGCCGAACGGTTACCAAGCTGGAATGCCACGCAGAGGTCCTGGGTTTGATTCCCAGGCCGGGAGAAATGTGTGTATGGCTTACATTTATATTTATATATGAGTTTGGGTGTAATTTGTGGTTTCCCTAGTGCGGGGCCATGAGTGTGTTGCGTTATTATACTCTGCAACGGAAACACGATTTCTCGCGCGAGCTATTAATGGCCATTTTTGATGGAAATAGGCCGGCAAGATTTCAATGCTCGTCTCTTCTCGTCTCGTCATATCTCGCCGGTGGAAAACCACCTTAAAGGGCCTAACGTACGCTGTTGACGCATAGGAATTATTTGTATCATGACATAGAACATAGAAAAATCTGAATCGAACATGTAAATAAGTTTTTTCCTTCAATTTGCCCACGCCGATACGTGAAAAAGGGCACTTTATGTTATCAACGTTCCTGCCCCTAACCTGCGCATGTTGCAGACTTGTAAAATACAATGGTTATAAAATGAATTTAAATGAAACAGGTGAATTGCTAAACCGGGTATATCGACTGACCTGTTTAATAAATCCAGCCTGTAACGTATTAAGGAATATCGAGGGTGTCTAAGTTAGGGGTTTGCAATAAATCAGGGGACATCGAACTGGAGGCGCTGCGGGCGCGGCTGGCGGAGACAGAGCGCGCCATGCAGCGGATTGTGACACAACTTGCGGCGCACAACGCGGTACTCCAGCTCCGCTAACTTTGTCTCTCTTTCTCTTTTGTACTCTGTGGAATCTGGGATCAAAATCTACTTACCTTTTCTAGTCTGTGGATAAAAAGTTAATTGTTGTCTACCTCACTAAGATTAAATTTAAATTAGATACATTCTTATTGCCGGTTCTTTATTCTTTAGGAAGTGATCAGCTTGTGCAAGTTCCGCAGCTATATTTGTTTAAATTCACGTCTCTATATCGTAGAGATTTGTTTGAATGTTTAGTAGTTAATTATTTTGTTACATCTTTTTAAATAAAAGCATTTATCGCACTGTCAACAATACAGTGACACAATTCGAAAAATAACATTTTTAGGAAACTGTCAAAAATTCATTTATTTATCGTAAAAGATACTGCATCAACTTAACACAAAATAGTCTTAGACAATTAGACGCATACGTTCACCATACAAGGTGCACAAGAATTAACCAATGAAATACAAAGTTATAAAATTACAGCAATAATTTGAGGGATTTGTGTTTTTGATACGAAATTTATTAATATAAAAAAGAATAACGGGAGAAATAAAGTTAATGTATTCATATTAAATGGAATTTAGTCATATCGAATTATTAGGCTTTCGCGATTGCTATACATTGAAAATGAAACTATTTTTTATTTTTCGGATTTAAGTCAAGTAAAAAAAAAAATTTTCAAAATGTGCTGGAGACGAATGCTGAGAATGCTGGAGACGAATGCTGAAAATACCGCTTAAAGTACCAGTGCATCAACCCTGCCTCAGCTCCAAAATCAAAATTTTTGTTCGGTTGTTCACTATACGCTACCAACGCATTCTTTCATATTTCGACCACCTGCTGCGCTGAAGCGGTGAAAGTTTGAAGAAACTGATTGTAGTTGGAAACCCGGAGGAAAGCGATTACGGGGTCGTGCATCAACAGGTCCATCTTGTTTCTTGTTGTTGTCCAAGTGAAAGACTGATTGTCCTCCAAATTTCACACGGTCGTAAGAGACGCGCTGGATGGAAACAGATGGAGGCAGATCATCCGTTTCAGAAGTAGGTACGACGCCGACCACGAAACTCAGACTTGAGTGAACGACTAGAGAGAGAGAGAGAGTGAGAGAAAAAAAAAGTATTTTCGAAGGCACGCATAGCTGATGTTGAGAAAAGGACTGCCAGACGGAGATGGGCTCACACAACTACTTGATGGATCGGGATACTCGGTAGAAGGACCTGCGACGACGAGACAGATCAAGGAGATGGCGGGATGACTTGGATGCGTGTATAAAGGACTGGTCTGATAATGCGCCGGGAGCTGTGGAAATCGAGAAGAGAGCCCTTTACCCAGACGTCGGACACAATAAAGAAAAAAAAAACAATTTAAATAAAAAGAAATAGTTTCAAATCCAGCCAAATTTGTCGGTTTCTCAAAAATGTTACTTTTCGCATTACACCATTTTATTGTTGAGGATGCAATTTGTTACTTCTTTTTGTTTTATTTACATTCTGATTTGCTACTCCTTATTTTATTTTACCATTGAACAATTTTCAATCCCACTACGTTCTCTGTTAAATTGTCATATAATTGCTTATTTAAATAAATTAATTTTAAAACAGATTTTTATTGTTTCTTAAAATTTAATTCGTAAGTTACATATACGGTGTTATGTTTTAAGTAAAGAGAAAGACAGACATAGTTTTCAGCCAATCGCGTGTCGTATACAGGGTGCTTTGTGTCCCTACTTAGCGCTAGCGGTGCATGGTGACGTAGCCCGGAGCATTTGACGATTGTGCCTGGCTAGAAAAATAATATTAGACTGTGTTTGATAACAGTATGTTTTATTTTTATAACTAGACTTTCGTAAGTCTTTACCCTGTAGTTCCTAATAGGAATAATTCTAACTTTTTTATAAAAAAAAACCTACCTCAAAAGTTTGCTTTCACTGTATTCGTTCTACGGTCTCGTCAACGATAACTGAAACGCGTATGGAAGTCCTCGTCAAAACAAATCATATGCACCCAATCAAAAGGTAGCTAGTAAGTAAGTAAATTATTAATACAAAGATAGAAATTTTTCCTTCGATCCGGCCGGATTCGAATCGACGTCTTCTAGCAACCAAAAAAAAACCAGATCTGACAACAAGCACATAGAAAAATTCGTGAGATCCACTGGTTCGTTCTGTGGCTTAGTTGGCAAAGCGTCTGGCACGGTTTGCTAGAAGGCGTGGGTTCGAATTCGGCCGGATCGAGGGAATTTTTTCTAAGTGTTCCATTGTAGTAATGATTATAACAAAGTAGTGAAGTAGTTTCACAAAAAATTATTGTAATCATGGTCATAAAACATACTGACATTCAATAAAACACTTAATTAAGTAAATTCTTTATTTCCTCCACAAATTTATAACAATTGAAATGACAGAACAGTAGTGCATACAGGGAAATTTGTAGAGACTGGAGCCTAACTGGGACACCCTGTGTTTCAGGTCACCATCTGCTACGTACTGTTACTTTCGTCTGTCTGCCATTTTCATCATCAGATCAGATCTAGGTCACCACAACATTTTATTTTATTTATTATTGTTAGAATTACATTTATATGCCAAAATTTATTGAAGTCGGTTAACGTTTTGTTAAATATGAAAGCTCTTTATAAAGTTTAATAAGAAGGCTCGTTGATTAACTACTTTGCCTCGAAAAACATTTACAAAGAACAAATTACCTTTACATTTTTATTTAAAAAAACCGACCTTAAAACCTTGTGGAATTACATCTGTTTAAATTTTGTTGAAATTGGTTGAAATCCAATAAACCGGAATCATCCCCTGATTTGCTTCCCTAAAAGATGAAATATTTTCTTCAAATTTGAAGTGGACCTCTATTGAGGTATCCCTTTAAACAAAAAAATAATCATCGAAATCAGTCCACAAATGTGAAAGTAATAGAGTAACATACACATAATCAGTACAGATAAATTGGGAACTTCTCCTTTTTTGAAGTCGGTTATTTGTTATTAACCGACTTCAGAGCGAATTAAAAAAACACTATTCGTTAACTATTTCTCTTTAACGATTTGATAAGTGAGGTTTATTTACATTATTGTTTATTCAAAATTTAAAGCGTGTCTCACATACGTTTCTCTGATCCAAAAGTGAGTAACTGAAGCACTAGTGTTATGGAAATCACAATATACAAAAGTTACTTTTTTTGCATTGACCCCGCTGGGAATCAGGTTTAAAGAACTCTCTCTATTAGGTCGAAGACATTGACTCTTTTCGATGTATTATAGCAATACCAAGCGTCGTATTCTAGAACTCTACTCAATGCTCAAGTCAGGATTGCACTGGAAACACAAGCACTGGAAATACGACCCTAATGGTAGGGACTTGAGTATGATTTCGAGTGCTTTAAACCATACTCAAATCCTGACTTGAGCATTGAGTAGAGTTCTAGAATACGACCCCAAGTGGGCCTCAGTTTTATTTTCATTTCGTCACAATAACTTGAAAGAAAGTAACATCATCATCCCATTGCACGTTCCTTTACTGGGCCCGGGTCTCATTTAAAGGACTGTTTAAGCCATATTCCTGTCAACCACATCCATTACCTGGTCTCAACTTAGGGAATTCCCTTCACTATGAGTACCAGAGCCACTGCACTACTTAGAAGACCGAAACCAGAACCAATTTACAAAATTTCATTTCTCAAATTGGTCTTAGGACGCGTTCCCACTATGTCCTAACGTTTCAATTTCATATCACATTACAAATTTAAGATGGAACATTAATTGATGGTATACATGTAACGCCCTGTAAGGGCACAGCAGAAGGCTAAATTCATAAATCACACTATTTAATTATATTCAATTATTACATTACAGTATAATATCATACCATTAAATTATTATATCACATTATTACATACGTTTATTTATCTTTGGATGACTGTCGCGTCTAGCTTGTTCCCATATCACGACTATCTGTCGTGACTGTGTCGTGGACGTTTTTTGAACGACTGTCGGGTCTAGCTGTTCCCACTAGATCGTGACAATTTATCGGTTCACGACAGCCGCCTTGTCGTTTGCACAACAGAATCATTTGAAGTTGCGATTATCTGTCGTCACATTTTTATCGTAACGATTTACTTATCGTCGGACTTCCATTGTCACGACATAGTGGAAACGGGCCCTAATGGGGAAACGAACTCAAGACCTCATCCAGCGCCCGCAGTGTCCTTGCGAGGCCATCATGGTTTCCAGTGTTGTGAACTGTCGAAATGTACTTATACTAGTACATTACATAATTTGTCAGTACTTTTTTTTCGACACGTGGAAGACCTAGAAGGAGATGGCGTGACGAGTTAGGCTCTTATGTGAGATCTTGGCTTGTAGTGGGGCAGTGGCGGCTGAAAAAGAAAAAAAAAAGGTTGCCTGGAAGAAATTGCTACATAGCAATAAGGCTGCCTGTTGCACCTTAACTTATTATTTTTATAATGTAAGTTACAGTTATGTGTTCTCACTTTAACTTTATGTGCAATAAAGAATATTTCATTCATTCATTCATTTCACTAATTGTAAGTCATATAGGTACTTGCCGTTACGGGGACTCTAAGCGTCATTCGAGAAGCAACCGTTCTCCTATTGGATTACCAGCGCTCGCTTGAAAGAAATGACCAAATCCAATAAACTACTATCCAATAATCTCCCTATAGTAAACTATAAGTAACAACTAACTGTTGGCAAAGAACCAAATTCTCACAGGCATGGTCGTCGACTGCATCCGTCCTTCGTTTGTTTTCATTGAACTCTATATTTGTAACGTATTTGCGTTTCCCTCTCCTTAGATTATTTTTATGAAACAATTTTTTTAAAGAGATTGATGCTCGTTTATTTTGCTCTTGTATTAAATTTTGAACTTCAATTGTTTCCTTGATGCAAATTAGGAATTGTGATTTGAAATCAAAATTCTTTTTGTATATCGGCGTTAAAGCCGCAGGATCCTGTTTAACTTGAACAGGTATTGAATACGTGAAGCGTCACTAAACGATCAATTAATCGAGGATACAAACGGACAATAAAAAGATATTAAAGAAAAATATGAATGAAAGTTATTAACGTTTAGTGATTGTCGTGCAGTTGTCACGGCCATATCGGGCCTGGTAGCCGAGGTGCAGCAACAGATGGAGGCGACCTACGCGCAGAACCAGCAGACACAGGTCATTGCATGACACCGCTTCCTGGCCATCATGACACCATTTTTTTGACTCATGACAACCTTATTCGTTCTTAACAGCCTTTCTTTGACCCATGACACTTTTATAAATTTTTATGACAACTACGCAGTACTAGATAGGGATGGGCGATAGTTACTAAAAATAATCGAATAGGTTTTGGGAAATTAAACTATTTTTCCGGATTTACATCGCGTATATTTGTTTTTTCAAACATATAATAATATAATAAAAATATATGTAATATAAATAGGGTGGTTTGCATTAATATTACCACCTCAGTCAATCGTGATCATGGGACCTGTAAAGGGCCTGAAACGTTGGTTTGTTTGAAAAAACAAATATACGCGACTGAAATCCGGAAAAATAGTTTCATTTCCTAATAATCAAATTATTCAATTATAAACATAATCGAAATAATTCGATCGTTGATATCAGTTATACGTCTTTTTTGAAGATGGAGTAAAATGACAGTTCATTGTGCAAAAGTGTTGCCCGTTTGCAAGAAGCTAGTGTTTGTAGTCGATACATATTCTATCGATTATCGAGTGCATGTTGGTTACGCTTATGCAATAAATGTCCGAATTTGTTTCATTTGAATCATTATCGGCTTATTATTCGTCCAACTGCTGGGCACATGTTCATTTGATATTTTTTTTAAAGTAAATGAATTGGCAATTTTTGTAAGTCCATACATACCTTCACTGCATTTAGAACTATGTCTATTAAAAATACAAAGAGCAGACATATTTAAAAGTTTTTAATTTTAACCGATTTCCATCCTAGTAGACCAACTGTCGAAATAAGAATGAAGAAGACAATAACGCAATTAGTAATCTTTAGAACGTGTGTCGTAACATTCACAATTTCAAATTTTGCCTTCTTTCACAATCTATCGATAAAACTGTCGACAACAACTACATGGCTAAAATTTTATGAGAACTGGCATACCTGCAAGTGTCATTTTACTCCGTCTTCAAAAATGACAAACTATAGCTACTAATTAAGTTACTACACTTCACTTTTTTATTGTTGATCAAATATCGAATGTGAATCGAAATGGTTACTTATCTACTAGTTAGTAATTTTTGATTGTTGATCAAATACCGCAATAGTAATAGGATCGAAAGGTACTAAATAATTAATAGGATATGATAGGATTTTTACGTTCCGTAGCATGGTATAGAATACCTTTTTTAGACACCGAAAATGTAATTAGTAATTACTAAATTAGTAACATTCATACATTAGTGATAATAATATTCTATTATTTTCGGTAAAGACGACTAAATCGACAATCGAATATAAGACAGGAAATAGGAAAATATCGATTTTATCGATATTTTTTTAGTAACAATAGCCCATCACTACTACTAGAGCCAGACATAACTTGATATACGCAAGAGGTGGTACACCTCTTGCCGTATATCAAGACAATGCAATTTACTCAACTATGACACGATGAACAGAATAAACTTTCTGTACTCATGGCATATATCTATTGACCATGATGTGATGTTTCTGGACAGCTAAACGAAGAACCGGTTGCCATTGGTCACCGAATGGCACTGCTCTGACACACGTTGAACCAAACAGCATTTCGCTAGTCCCTTCTCGGCATCTACCATTTACATAGACTGATATTACTGCATTTTAGCTATAACCGGTTCACAGTATCCTGTTCTGGTTTATAAAATAAAATATTTATTTCCTCCATAAAATTGTAATAGCAGAACAATGAACCTCAGGGTGCGTACAGATATGACGAATGCGTCCGTTTGCGATAGGCTCGCGAGCTGTACACGTGCATTATTATTATTAATAGTGATAATCCATATCATTGCAAGGTGTGGAATTGCCTCTTTTTCGCCAAAAAATTTAAAACCCGGGCGGGTTGCGATTAGGTTTGAATCCACTGCCCAGCACTGGTTACAGATGGATTTTAACATCAAATTTTAAAGTGTCGCTTTGTTTAAATTACTCGTAATTAGTTTCCATTCGTCGTATAATTGGTAAACTAAACGTTCTCGGTACTACGTGAAGCAATTTCGATTTAAAACAAACGACAATGAGAAAACAATGGTTTAAGTGTAATCCATTTGTACGTGTCTGACATACATACTACCTTTTTATTTCTGTGATACGAAACAAGTATACAGTACCACATTCCTGATTTTACATAAAATAGCTGCCGATTTTTGTGTTTTTTTTTTATTTCTTAAATAATTATTATAATGGCAACTTTATTCTAAAATTTGTGTTAAATCGTGTTTAGAAATATTGACTAAATAGGTATTATAAATTTTTCATGAAACATGATTAGTTATCGGCTTCTGGTCTCTGCTGTCTGGTTTTTGATGTATATTCACGAAAATCTTAAAATATTGAATGACTTTGACTATCATACTTTTTGGCGACACCATGTCTTTCTGATGGCACATTTCTCTTGACGAAACCTTTTCTTTCTGACGATACGTTTACGTTATTCTCACGAAAGAAGATGATCTTTCCGAAGAAAGAAAGGTGTCCTTTTCTCCTTCACGATATTTTTTCTTTCTGATAATACCTTTTCTTCTTGACGACACCTTTTTTTCTAACGACGCCTTGTTTTGTTGACGACGTCTTTTCTTTTTGACAACATTTTTCTTTCTGAGGACACCTTTTCTTTTTTACGATACGTTTACATCATTTTGAGGTTTCATTTCTGACGAACATATCTTTAATGTCCATAGGACATCTCTATCCCATAAATCTATATTCATTTTAACTAACTCGTTTCACATTTACAAGCAGTACTTTTGAGTTGCAATTTTCAGCCCTGAATTTTTGTGTTATTATTATGCATGATTTTGGCTTATTTTTTTAAATTTTTTATTACCGCCTATCGCCACTGTCTGTGTCTGTACCCGAGTTACCAAGTTACTAACAAGTTAAAAAATGGATTAATTAACTGAAATTATAAATAAAAAAGTATTAATATTAATTACTATAAATAAACTGCTGGTTAATGTAAATATACATAATTTTAAGAACATAAATATTGCGTTTTGTTTGTTTTGTTAGTTTTGCTTTTCCAGCTTTATTAGAAGCACTTTTTAGGAAGCATTGTAAGTGTTATTTTAAATTCATAAGTCGTATACAGGTTGTTGCAAAAGAGTTCTTTTGAAGTATTGTTCTCACAAGTTTTTACATAAGATGGTGTTATAATTTTATGGTAATATAATTTTATCTTGTTGTCTTCGACGGAATGCTGTTGTGGAGATCATACCTGGGGTTAAAAAACAATCATGTATATAAAATAAAACAAAAAGAAATATAGAAGGTACAGCTGGCAGCATATCACGCTAGACATTGACGGATCTCATTCGGTTGCACTGCAGGTGATATTCGAACAAAATTGTATAGCTCGATATGCTGTTGACTGCACAATGCGCCACATATTTTCAGAATTCTAGCTAAACAATTATCAAGTTCCCTGGTCATACATACATTTTTATGATCGCTCTAGAACCTGAATAATTGCGCCGTCTACAGTAAATTTTAGTCTGGCATTCTGACTTGTGTAATATAATTATGTAACAACCTGTATGAATATGTGAGTTATTTATGCACATATAGCGTTTTTCTTTGGCCACAACATGCATTGAGTTATAATTTCTTTATAGAATTAGTTGGTTTTTAAATTATTGTTTGAATGTGTTGAGGTAGTGCTAATTTTAGATTTCTAGACATTACACACTACTGCATAATACTAATATATATACATAATGAACTATTGAATTTAATCCCTTCAAACGTTCTTGTACTCCAAAGTAATATGTGGCTTGAATATTAGCTCTGATTTTATATTAACATGTTACACTTTATTTCCAAAACAAAAATTCAATAGTTCAGTTGAACTGAAAAACGCAATAGAGTAACAACCTCTGATATTTCTAGGATGTGCAGGATAACCACGCTCGTCCATACACGAACGGCACAGTCATACACAGTGGGCCAGTCCAAATCGTAGCAAGCGAGTATCGAGAACCTTGCAAAGAGAAAAGCCTGGAAATTCAGAAAGAGATGCCAGAACCAAGGGAAGCGTCTCCAGAATCTTACCCAGAGCCTAAAACTGTAGAAAAGGAAATTTCACCGGAGAAAGAGATCCTAAAACCAAAGGAAGCATCTCCAGAACCTTCTCCAGAGCCTGAAACTGTAGAAAAAGATATTTCACCTGAGAAACAGCTTGCGCCAAAGGAATTAACACCACGAGAAGAACAAACAACGCCAGAAACAGATATTACACCAGACGAAAAAGAGTTCAAACCACAAGAAATTACACCAAATACAAAAATGACACCTGAAAAAGAAGAGGATAATGTAGATGAAGAAATCGAGGATAATCTAGAAGAAGAAATCGAGGAAGTGGAAGAAGAAGAAAATGATCCGACAGAAGAATTAATAAAACTAACACAAAAGGTTGAACAGAAGACGGACACGCTAGCGAAACTTACAGGTACTGTATTTTTATCAGCTCATAAACATTCTAGATATTCGCCAGCACTTGATATGCAAAGACTTTTCAGAAGTGAGTTTTGCGATTCAAGAACTCGAACTTACTTTTGTCATGTAGGTTTCTTTGTGGTGTTTATTCTCCTAGCAAGCAATCGTTGATCAAGTTTTACCTGCAGTGACGCAGGTCAAGTCACCGTATACTTAAAGAAAATTTTGTAAATAACTAAGTTTTTGTTGTCACGTTACAAACTATTTCCTATAACAAAGTTTTTTCGAACTAGAAAATAAGTTTCCCTTTGTAGTTCCATGACATTAAAAACTTAACATGTCTGTCCGCTCTCACGCCAACATAGTTTTTTTCTGAGTGTACAGAAGTTCAACTTGAAATTAATTTGATCATGAACAATCGATATTAATGTCATCTTATCGATGATTTTTTTTAAATTTGCCTTACAGGAGAGTTTCTAGAAGAAGAAAAAGGAAAACTAAAAATACTGTCTACACCAGAATTAGAGAGAAAGACGTCTGACCTTCTAGAAGAAGCTCTGATAGAAAGCTCGCCAGAGAAGGAATCCGAAGTTGTGGACCAGGACAACGGCAGTGTCAAAGTGAGTGTTTTAACGTGATTTTGCTGTCAATAGTTCTTTCTTTGTAATTTATACGTTACAGGTTTAATCAGAGAATCCTTGAAATAGCTATTGACAGTGATCTTTTTGAATTAAATTTTTGTGACTATCACAAGTTTTGCTTTCATCGTGCTTAGCTTAAAATGCACTTGATTAATTAATTAATCAGTGGCGAGGGATGATTTGCAATACGTATTAATTTTTTTCATTGAATGAAAAAGGCAAAAGGGAAGTGCTTAGTATGTGGTATTTTGTAAGGGCTCAGGAAGCACTGTTTAAGTTGCCGGAGAAAATTGTCAAGCGTTTTGTTCTAAACAACAAAACTTGTAAACGTTATATGGGCGTTGTATATTGGATGAATAAAAATGTCCAATGCCTAAATTAATAAATATGTTAGGCAAGTTAATTTGAATGTTATATTTAGACCCCGCTTTGCTGATATTTATATGTTTCATTGGTAACTATTATACTTAATAATTTTAATTAAAAAATACTCCATTATTAACTAAACTATACTCCGTCCTTCAACCATTTTTTAACTTTTGACAGCTCGAATTCTAATCCATCAGTGATGCCTAATGCGTTTCCGATTCGATTTTTTTGTAACAATCGATTTTATTTATGAAGAAGTATAATCGTGAATGTGAGCGGGTTCAAAAAAAAAATTTTGTCTTTGGCTTTTCAACGACTTTTTAGTCGTAGCGCCATCTATGAGAAATCTATGAAAGATTTATCACCCAGTTAGTACCTTTACAGCTACTAGTCCTGGCGAAAGATGTCGCTATTCACAGTATTTTAAATTTTTATTGAATTGATATTCAATAATTTTTTGTGAAATTACTCCACTAGTTTGTTGTAATCATATGTTAAGATATTGTCTGATTAGAGTCGTGATGTTACGTTTGGGAGTTTGTGTACTCAAGAATGAATACTTACTGATGATTCTCGTTCAATATAATAAACAATAAAAAGTTGTAAGTTATTTATAATTTATTAATTTCCTTGTAATTTATTAGACGGGTACTAAAATTTATCAACTTAAATAATCTTCGATACATAATCTGTTGGCTCGATAAATATCGGAGCTAAAGAGCACGTCGCTTCTCTAAAATTGAAAAATAAAAGAGTCCTGGAATCATTGCATTTTTTGTCTATGGTTTTATGTCAATAATTACGGAACTTCGGAAGCATGCATGTATCAAAAGTTAAGTAAATGGTTGGACGGAGTATAAAAGATAACTTACGTATTTAAGTCCAATTTTTGCTCGATATATTTCGAACCAGTCCGTGATAGGCAATCTTCTTCCTTAATTTGACTGCCTCCGTGGCCGAACGGTTACCATGCTTACATGATTCGATTCCTGGGAGAAATAAATGTAAGCTATAAAATTTATTTCTCACGTGAATTTGGGTGTAATTTATGGTTGTCTATGTATATGTCCATGGCACCCGCGATACAGGGTTTCCCTAGTGCGGGGCTATAAAAAAAATTTATGAGCTTCCGCGGCGGTGACTTGAAAACTGCGCGCCCAAGCCCTGCCAGCATGTCAGACAGAATGTGGTTAGTTCGTATCCTACATAATGACTTTAATAATAACAAAGCAAACAAGGGTAGCTGCTCGCCACCGCAACCCGCCCCCGTACTGAACGACTGTCAGAGCTTTGGCGCGCCGAACCTCATGATTCAGGACCATGAACTGTTTCGAAACAATCTCAGAAAAAATTCGACTTAAATATGTGAGTTATCTGTCAGTTTAGTTATGTCTAAGTCTCGCGATAGTTTTCTATTTAAAAATGCTCCATTAGTTATAGGGGTATAAATTCTGGTTTGGGAGCCCGGTTGAACTCTACCTTTAGCAATACCAATTTTATTTATTATTTTACGTAGCCCACTTTACCGTTTAGCAATGATTGGTTTAAATAGTGTGAAATGGAAATGTGACGGTCCCCGTTCGCTCGTAGGTGGTAGGCATGGAGGTGACGGCCCACTCGGCGGACGGCGGGCAGTGGCCACGCGCCGCGCCGCCGCCCCTCACTCCGCTGCCGCCGCCCCGGCCCCCGGTGAGGCCCGCGCCTTCATTCACTGTACACATAATACAAACTCTTTACGACACTTGATCTCTTTTAACCAAAACTAAGTTTCCTAAAGATATTTGTTAAAAAACTTGCTCATTTCGCGTGTTATTTTGAATCATTGTACACCTAAAAGCCTGTCTCCCATTGTAGTAGGCAGAGGCCTCACTTCGATACGGTCCGGATACTTTAGTTTCCTCCGCTTATTCAACCTTTTCACATACGTATTTTTAATCATGGTACTTTTGTCTACTCCCGTTCTTCATTCGACATTCGACCGAAACAATTACTGTCAATTAAGTAATACTCGACCAAATTAAAAAAAAAAACAGATGATGTGAATGAAGCTTCACACTTGGTATTGTCGTTTGGTTTTATGAGAACGAGAGTAAACCCCCAGGGCCCCAGGCCTGCTAATTTTAAACTGAGATGCAGTTGTGAGTCCATAGAGTGTTAATGGTACGTACGTTTGGTATTCTGCTAAAAGTTAAGAGAAATAGCTTGTCAGTGGTTAGCCGTCGTGTTACCATTCGACTGTTATTGCAAAAGATAGTCATGGTCCGTGCACAAGATTTCAAAGTGCCCATTTCGAAAAGATGAAGAATACGAACGGCACGCAGGTGGCATTGACGCGGGTCTCCCTCTTTTTAATAATGAATGTCCGTCGTAAGAGCGTGAATATTCAAAAAGGTCACGCGCTCAGTACCTATTTTGTATACCAATTTTTATATTAATGCATTGTGTTATAGTTTGTTTCAATCCATTTTGAACAAAAAGTAAACAAAACTGTTTGGTTAAAATTCTAAAGCAATCACTCAATAAAACAAATAAGTAACACTTTCACGTGTATTTCTAAGATTTCGACTTGATATCTCATCACTTTTTTCAACAAT